TGACTGTGCAATATCCTCCTCCGCCCAATTTCGTCGCTTCGACCCAGTCTTCAGTTTGTCTATCTGACCTTTGGTGAATATAGAAGCCAGTTTATCTTCTATATTTCCCATTTCGGCACCAATTGCATCCAAACTCTTTTTCAACAACTCTACTGCCCACGCGTGCTTCTTCAGCTGAAGGTCAGACTCCCGCTTTAATGTAGCGATCTCGGTACTCTGCTTAGCGGTTTGCTTTTTGAGGATTGCATTTTCGCGCTTCAATGTCGCTCTGCAATAAGTAGAAAATATAAGTTATGATTTGATTTGCACATTATGATCTTGAAATTATTAACGTACACTTCCGCTTTTAACATTTCCACTTCTTGAAGATCGCCGTCATAGTAAACCCAGTTACGAATTGGTGATGTCGAAGCATCAAGAGTACTGTCCTTGGGTCGATATTCTGTATTGCTTTCACTTACAACCACTGTAACAAACCCCTTAGGTTAATAATATAATTTTAAGGGCGTACTATTTTTACTACCTTCGCAACTACCTAGCTCAAGCACCTCCATATTGTGGTCATCATGCGGTTGAGACTCTGCTACAGGTATAGCACACACAGAAATGGATGGCACCGCATCGCGCCTGAGTAACGGGCGTTTAGCCAATCCTAATCCTTTTATTAGATATCTACGTAATTCAAAGTAAATGATACTTACGCGCTTTGTACTGCATAACATTGTGATAATCATCGTCGGTAAAGTGCTTCATGCATATGAAGCTGGTATCCAAATTGAATGGCTTTACTTGCCCGCAGAATTCCACCCACTTTCTCGCCACGGCATCGTTGCGAGGAAAGGAAAAAAAGCTGCATTTAGAGGCACTACCTTGACGGCTGTCGCAATTTAATACACGGCACTTCATTTTATCAGTTTTTACACACTACTCAACTGAAAAATCACTAAAAAAATTGCAAATTAACACGATTTTAACCGATTTTTCACTAATAATTCAAATTTCTCTATGCAACTTATTTGTAAACAAAAGTTTATTTACGAGTTACCACAACTGTCAAAATCGGCAAAACCAAAGTAGCGGTACCTCTGACGGCGCCACCTTTGTTTCGCTGCACCGTGCCAAACACCCATCATTGATCCAAAAACAATGTAATAGATATAGCTACAGATGTAGCTTTAAAATTATAAAATTTTCATTTTAACAATCAACCTACCAAAACCGAAAACTTCAGAAAAACAACATTTCAACATGCTGCATTTAAATATATTTTGGTATATTTAAAGGTAAATTATGGTACAAACGAAAAATGTCATACGGCAACCATAGTCAGCACACACTAAAGTAAACAAACTGGAAATTAATAGCAAATTAGCGAAAAATAAACACAACAAACGTTGTGCATATTAAATTTACTCACTTTTTCGTTGTTACTAGCATTAATAATAAAATTTGCATAAATAACTCAAAGGCTGTATTTCTTTATTCATTCTGAACGTTTGGAATAAACTTTTTTGTTTACTTATTCTTTAGAACGTTCCTCATGATATGTTAACGTATATTTCAAAAGTGTTCTGTTTATTCCGGCTGTGAAATGGGATTATCCGGAATGTATAAAGAAACGCAGCCAAAAAGGCCATATTTGCTTTTGTTTATTTACAAGCATGTGTTTGTGATCAGCTGATTTTCTTACTTGCAAGCATCAAGAACGATAGAATACAAGATTGCGCCAATCAAGCTGAGAGCAACTGGCCATGACGTCAATAAATACCAGAATGAGAGAGCAAGACGAACTCGACAAGAAAAAGAGGAAGCATCGAACAAAAGGCAGTATTGCCAAGTTTTGAATTTGAAAAAGCACCAAATTTATATTGGTGTATTTTACGGACTTTATATACATACATAATTTTATTGCAAGGATGCCGATTCAAATTAATAAAAATTAATGTTTCTTGCACGACGGTCGATTTCATCTGGCATGATTGAAGGTGCTGCCACATATTTTGTAGTCGCTTATGTCACTGTGCCATGATTTTGTTAAAATTTTTGTAAACTGGCTTACCCCACTTACAATTGCTATAAATTTTGCTTCCAGTTTTTTTAAGATTTTCTAATTTGGTGTCTTCAAACTAAAAACAAAAACACCAAAAACGCACCATGCACGAAACTCAAAAATTTTAGCGTTTTGAATACCCACTAAATTTGGTGCGAAAAGCATAAAGTTGGCAACAGTGAATGTAAACAAAAGTATTTAATGACGTCAGCGATTGGGTGGATGCTGTCAAATCGACGAAGAGAGGGTTAGCGGTCCGCGAATGGCGCGACCCATGATTCAATAATACAAGGTTAGATAATTATTGACAGCTGCGGTTTGACACTCCCTTACAAAAGGTTGCATTTACGAAGGACGGAGAGAGGCGAAGAATGAAATCTC